ATTAAAAGATTGAATCCAATCGATTACTTAGTTCAACTCAAGAGCTTATATACCTATTATTTTTCTCATACTTTTCTGATGTGGGATACTCTTAACACTCCCTCTCAAGTGGACAACCGGACCATTTTGAATCTAACCGGTTGACCACTTGCAAATGAACTCCCATTCCCTTGACTTTTTTTAGCGCCAACACCTAAAGGACCACGAGCCGCTGGGTATGGACTTCCAGACAAGCAATCGTGTTAAACGGGCCACAGACCGTTGAGTACATACTCCATACGGACAACTGGGTTAAAGACAAACAGGCCGCTAGGAATGAACGTCTAGACGGACACCTTGACAAACGATGTGGGCCAAAACTTGCTCCGATACCATGATAGAATTTGGGATGGGTATGGACAACTGGATGGGGCTATAAGACACTTGGGCTGAACCACATTAAAAGATTGAATCCAATCGATTATTTAGTTCAACTCAAGAGCTTATATACCTATTATTTTTCTCATACTTTTCTGATGTGGGATACTCTTAACAGCTGCTATCAATGCCTCCCACTAAGACATTATTAAGTCTTATTTAGAGAATAAAAAAGTTTAAGTTTTGATCTACATTAGGAAAGTCATTATGTTTTAGTCTTATTTAGTGCAAATTTCACTATATACATAAACTCCCTCAGTCTCTAGAACGTTTGTCCTTTCTTTTTTCATCCGTCCCAAAAAAACACTTCTTATTTTTATTAAAAAATCACATCATATCTTTTTACTAATAATCTACCATCAAATCATATTTTTACTCATCACATCAAAAAACTTTTTGGGAAATTCAATACCAAAATACACTTCTATACCAAAAAACTTTTTGGGAAATTCAATAAATTCTATGTTTTTAGGACCAGAGGGAGTATATAACCATGCCACGTAGGAATAGGAAATTAGAAATCACTCCTAATAGGACTAAAACATTGTGTTTATCCCTAAAATAGAAGTTCATGTTTTTTATCCCCCAACTAGGACCTCTCCCGCCACATTCTTTCTTTCTCTCCCGATTTTGCCCTCTTTTCCTTTCCGCGTCACACTTCACAATCCTGCCTCGTCTACATTACAACTCTTTGTAATACACATTACCACATTACATACTGTGACACTTTACATTACAATGGTTCGTAATATTCATCACCACATTACAGATTATGACACAAGTAATATCCACATTACATATTTTACTAGACTATCATGAATTTTTTTAATTGCATATTAACCATTGAATATTTTTATTTTTTTGTTATGGATTTAAAGTCAACATGTCCATATGAGTTTAAAGGACAAAACATGCACATGTTGTGAATTCCAACTTGATCAATTTATTTGCGTTCATGCGGTGGCTGCTATTGGGAGATGTCCCGGCTTATCTTGTTATGATTTTATCTCTCCTTTGTACAAAATTGAGGCGTTAGTATATATGTACATATGCTGGTATAGTCCACCCAAACACATAGAAATCCTATTCCATGAGTGGAAGATCCAAACACTATTTGATATCACTTTATGTTGCATTACATGACTTTTTTTTAGTATGATTTAATTGTGTTAAAATTGCTTGTACTAAGATGTAATGTACTTTTTAAAATGTCCTCCCCTTGTTGACACTTTTATTTCATAATTTCGTTTCATCTAAATAACTTTTGTTATTCAACGCTGTGTACAGTGCCACAAATTCGCATATACATGACCAACTTTAAGGACTCTTATAAATTGTTGTGCGTGTATGTGAGAAAACTAAAATTTTATATTGTAAATGGCCACCTTATGTCAACAATAATGCAACACTTAACTTTAATAGTAATATATTTATTTTATACTCCTATTTAGTAGTATATGAGTATTTGGTAGTTAATGTTTGCGGCAGAGATGAGAGGGAGGGTAGGGTATTTTGGGTATGACCATGCAAACTAAGTCCTATTTGGAGAATTTATGTTTTGGACTCCTATTTAGGTATATTTGATATGTTTTAGTCCTATTTAGATTTTTTTTCCCATAGGAAATTTGATAGAACCATGCCACATTTACACCACAATTTGTAACCCAAAGTTACACCAAAGGTATACAGCAATATTTCGATGGTTCACACTGACACAATGTGTTGGTGCGTTAACAAAAATTTACACTCACACAAAGTGTTGATGCGTTAACAAAAATTAACATTACACCAACAGAAAATATAGGTACATACCTGCGGTGTACAAATGGGGTACAAACCCTTGGGGTACAAATAGTTTTATCCAATTTGATAATTTGTCATTCGAAGTATTGTTAATATAATAATATTATGTTATAAAAAAATTATTTGTTTATTAAACTCTAACGTCTATTTTACGTATAAATTTTTACACATAAGTCCAAACTCGATAAACAATTTGTCGTTGGTCATTTTTTCGCGAGACCTATCCAACGATCCAAAATTGATTATATAATATTGTCTCTACAAAATACTTATAATTTATTCAATTAAACAAAAACTAAAATTAAAATTTATCAGAAATTCGTTATTAACTTTGAGGGTATATTTAAAGGCGTTACGCATACATGAAGCACAAATACATCATGTTATCATTGTTAATAACTCGTCTGATTCTTAAAACGTCATCATCCTTACCATCGCATGAGAAAGACTTTCAATAGTAAAGCAAAAATGAGGTTGCTCCGAAAGTATTGACTGACAAAGCGTTGCGCGAAAAGTTGAATATCATAAACCATACTTTCGGAAAGACACATAAGTTGATCCAAATGGTCCAATATGAAAGAAAAGGTCAATATTTTCGAAACTACCTTATTGGTAGTGCTTATCCGTCAGCATTATCTTGATGTGATACATATAGAAAAAAAGTGTGTGATAGTCTTATTGGCACCCTCTTAAATGTTCCTGACAAGACTAAGAATGGTGTAAATGCCAGAAAAGACCTGATAGACATAGGCTTTCAATTGGTACTGAGCTTGTTTTGCAAGAAAAAGGACATCACATATTTCTACCTCCGGCTTGCTACATACTTTGTAGAGAAGAAAAAATAACTCATTTGCAATGTCTGCGTGATATAAAGGTTCCACAAGGGTATGTTGGAAACATTAAGAGTCGTGTGTTGATGAAGGATTTGAAATTGAACGATCTTAAATTTCACGATTGTCGTGTACTAATTCAGGGACCGCAGAGCACTCGAAATGATCTTAAATAATTTTTCTACTACAATTTTGTTCTGTTCTGGTCTGTTTCAATGGCATGCTATTTAAAAAAAACCTTTTGAATTGGTTGTTTCCAAACAACCGATTAAAAAGTCTCTTCTAGAATTGGTGCCAATTCTAGAAGGGACTTTTTGAATCGGTTTGACAACCAATATAAAAAGTATTTGGACCAATTGCATCACTACCTTTTGCATCGGTTGACAACCAATTTAAAAGGTAAAAAACAACCGATTCAGAAAGTAATTTTTGTAGTAGTGAAACAAGCTAAGAGTCTAGAATCGCGAAGAAGATAGTGTTTTCGTGAGTAAGTCTGATAGAAGTAGAGAGACAGAGCTTCGTTGAGTGATGAACAAGATTGAGAGTGTGTGTGCTTAGTTTTTTTCTGGCGGAGAGTGTTGACCATTGGAGCGAGGGCAAGAAATTTCTTTTTTTTTCTCCATATGATTTTTCATATGAATTTGCATGAAGAAGGTAGGGTTAGTTGACGTTTTTGTTTGATTTTGATACATCGTATTATGGGAGAATTTTTTGGTTGTGGTGAGGAATATTGATCAGAGGAAGAACAATGGCCCGACGGGCAGCTAACAGTGATGTCTCCTGCGAAGAGCGAAGACAGAGAATTTTATAAGGTCGCCAAGGACGGTGATTCTGATACCATATAGAATAATGAATATATGATTGCATTATTCAATATATAATGAAATACATAGCATATATAGTATATATATAGAATGTAGTACAAGCACAACTAAGTTTTGAAATTAATAATAAAAGCTAACTAAAAGATAACCATTATCATAATAGAAATAATTATTACTCCTAATTACTATTGCCTGACAGAAAACAAAGAACTTTCACACCATGACATGCACTTACAATAATTATAGTACTAATAATAGCTAAAGCTGTAGCTTTAATTTGTAGTAACAACTAAGAGCATCTCCAACCATAGCAAAATGACTTGTTATATATGTTATAATTTGACAAGCATATACAAAATTTCATGCTCCAAGGGGTAATTCAAAATTTAACTAGCTTGTTAATTAAAAAATGAAAATAACTTGCTATTTATAACAAGCATGCTAGAATATAGCTAAACAAAAATTAATGTGAATTTCTTTTGCAATGATATATACTGCACAAATACTCCGTATAACATTTTTTTCCGATGTGAATGTGATTTTTTTACCATAAGAAGAGTTGTTTGATTTATTTTATTTTAATTAGAAACATTTTATTTTATATTTTTAATTACATGCTGTTATTTTAGGAAGTGGTATTTTAGGATGATTGAGTATGCAAACGTATAGTGGGAAGTTTTTTTCCGAACGTAGAAAAACATAGAATGAGAAGTTTTTTTCTGGTCGGAGAGAGTACTTTTGTTTTACATTTACACGGATAAATACAATTCAAGAACTTTTATATTTTATGTATTATAATGGTTATTGGAACAAAATATATTGGTTAGTTACACCCTCCGTCCCAAAAAATTACCTATTTACTATTATGACATCTCGATAACTCTTATTTGTTTTCGTGTTTTCATTGATCAGTTGATAAAATAAAATATTTTTATCAGCACTTGTTTTGTAGAGTTTTTGATGTAAATTTTAAATATAATTTTTAATTTTGTATTTTTACAAATTTGTAAATAAAATTATTTTAAAAGTGATGAGGTTTGCACGTTGATCAAAATGAGTAAAACATTTTGAGATGAAAAGAGTTTAATATAACAAGTTATGGTTGGAAAAGAGAGCAAAAAATGGCTTGTTATACCACTATTCATTTGCTAAAAAAAGCCATAGCAAGCCACAAATAACAAGTCCCTTTGGAGATGACTAACCGCACTAGTAATAAGCTGGCTAGCTAATTAAGGAACAGGATAAGACTTGTTGTTGCACATACATTTGTAAGCCATGGGACAAGTCTCGGCTTCCTCAAGGCTGGAGCACACAAAACTAACCATCACTAGTCTACATGGCCGACACGACCCGCATGCGTGCGAGCAGTCCGGCAGCCTCGATCCTGCGCCCCCTACTTCCTCCGTCCTGCTGCTCGTATCTCCTCCGCCCTTCTCCGCCGTCTTCCTCACTACTATTCCCTTGTCGCCGCCGCCGCCATCTCCCGCCGTGTTCCCCACCTCAACAACTTGCTCTGCATTAAGTAAGTCCAAGGATATGATATGATGTTAATACATACTCTATCCCTCCTGAATTAAAAACTCACTTTTACCTTTACTATTTCTTAATCTATCTATCACATCTATTCACTATTAATTTACATATCAGATCCTACTTATATTCATCACATCTAAAGACATTTTTGAAAACTCAATACAAAAATAAACTCACCTTAAATCCTTTAAAAATCAAAATATCTCATGTTTTTAAGGAGAGAGGGAGTAATAATGATAAAGTTAAATTTTTGTTGTAAAAAAACTAAGTGAATACTCCATATGTCTCCGCAAAAAAGTTTCCCTTTCTTTTTTCATCCGTCCCGAAAAACACTTCTCTTTTCCTTTTAAAAAGTCACTTTTACCCCTACTAATTTTTAACTTACCTATCACATTACACTTTTTCTTTATTAATCTATCTATCTCATCCTATTTTATCCATCACATCAAAGGACATTTTTGAAAAGTCAACATCAAAATACATTCTCCTTAAATTCTCAAAAGGTCAAACCGGGAACTTTTTTAAGGTACGGAGGGAGTAGCATTTATATTTAAGAAAATTTAAGAAAATGGGACGAAAGATATATATATATATATATATATATATATATATATATATATATATATATATATATATATGACTATCTAAAAAAATTTAAATAAATCCAATTAGCTTACTTGCGATGGGCCTCGCACACATCATGACGTGTGGGAGGAGAATAAGGATAACGAGGATGAGAAGAGAAGCACCACCGCCCTTCATGGCATGCACTAGCTAGCTAGCTTCTTTATAAATACCCACTTAATTATTATTATTATTATTATTATTATTATTATTATTATTCTTATATGGTTTTGTGTATATATATTGTATGTATATATATGTATATTAATGTTTGTGAATATATGATATGCAAGAAAAAGAAGATATATATATGTATAAGTAGTTGGGGGTTGAGGAATATAATTAATTAAAAGCCTACGAACACAAGAGAAATTAAAGTGGAGATCATATGTGTAAGCTAAGAGGAGAAATATACATGAAGATAGATAGATATGTGTGTGTGTGTGTGTGTGTGTGTGTGTGTGTATATATATATATATATTGAAGAACTTCACAAGCAACAGGAAAGGAAGATAAGATAATAAGATCACATGAAAGAGGGGTGAGGCTCACAGGGGTACGTAAGCAGTAATAATTAATTTAAAAATATTAATTATGTGTTATTGTAATGATAGATCATCATGCCATGCATCATGCATATATGCATGCATTATATCTCACTAATATAATTATTATTCTCTCTTCAGATCAAGTCACGTAAATTTGGATGCTGTGAGGAAATGGGAAAAAAAAATACGAGTCAAAAACATGAAGAAATTTAGTGAGGGCGACGATTAAGATGTAGAGCTTCTTTCCGTGAGTTTGCATTATACTCCCTCCCTCCGTCCCTAAATAAAGTTTCTCTTTCGTTTTTTCTTTGTCCCTAAATAAACTTCTCTTTTCCCTTTAAAACCCTTTTTCCCCTCACTTTTTCATACCCTACCTATCACATCATACATTTTTACTAATAATCTACATATCACATCTTACGTTTACACATCACATCAAGAGTATTTTTAGAAAGTCAACACAAAAATATTCCTCCCTTAAATCTTCAAAAAGTCAAAAATGGAACTTTATTTAGGAATGGAGAGAGTATATGGTTGTTTTTTTTCTTTCTTTTAATGTTCTGTGGCGGCGGCGAAAGGCACACCTTTGATATCTGGCTTTAAATGCCATTGATGACATTAATTGCCCTATTTTACCGTACTTCCTCATATATTTTTCTTTTGGTTTTTTACTTGAGAAATTTACCTAAATATGACTAAAATATAATGACTTTTCCAATATAGGACCATATGTTTTATTTCCCAATATAGGACTTTTGGTCATTATCAAGTAGTCATTATTCAAGTAAATGTCTAACATTACAAGACATTATTTCTCTCACTAGGTCATTATTAAGTCCTATTTAAAAAATAAAAAAGTTTAAGTCCTAAATTAGAAAAGTCATTATGTTTTAGTCCTATTTAGTACAAATTTCACTTTTTACTATCTTCACTTAGTATTTTAATCATTAATATTTCTATTTATATACAGATACATACTCCCTCCGTCCCTAACTGATCTTCTCATTTCTCCTTTTTATTTGTCCGCCATAAATCTTCTCGTTACACATTTTAACACACAAAATACCCTAAATACCCCTCTTCTATTTCTCTTTCTTTTTTCTCTCATCTTTCATCCGTCACTACTTTTTTCTTTCTTTCTCCCCTGGCCCCCCATTCTTCTCCGCTCTCTCCCTTTCTTCTTCTTTTCTTCTTTTCTTTGTTTTTCTTCTTTTTTTCCTTTCTTCTCTTTTGTCTTCTTCTCCTCCGTATTCTTCTTCTTCTTCTTCGCCATCTAGATTTGCGATGGTGGGGTAAGGGCAGTGGCGACGATTGCAGGGCTGAGGACGGCGGTGGCAATGGGGGAATGAAGATGGCGGCAACGATGGTGGGGATGAAGGCGGTGGCGGCGGCGGTGATGAGTCTAGATCTATATTTCTTCTCTTCTTCTCCCCCCCCTCTTTTTCCTCCATCTATGTTCTAGATCTAGACTATGATCACGGCGTTGGTGAGACCGGAGGCGGTGGTGGGATTGACGATGATTGTGAGGACCAGGGTGATGGTGGCGGACTGGCGGTGGCGGTGATAGTGGGGGGGCAGTGGTAGTAGCAGCGGCGGTGGTGGGAGAGGTTATGTGCGGTGGTAACTGGTAACAAAGCAGTAACAGATCGGGTGAAGTGGCAGAGCAAGTAGGGGCATAATGGGAAAGTCAGGAGTCTTTTTAACACTCCTAAAAAACCGTGAAAAGTCAAATTGGGAACATCTTACATGGACGGAGGGAGTATTATACTAATTATAGAAATACTCTCTCGTCCTACAAAATATTTTTCCTTTTTTTATCAGTCTCATCTACCTATCGCATTACACTTTTTCACTGATAATCTACTCATCACATCTACTTTTACCCATTCAAAACCACTTTTGGAAAGTCAACACAAAAATACACTCTCTTTAAATCCTTTAAAAGTCAAAACGAGAAAACTTTTGTGGGACGGAGAGAGTATTATATTTCAAACCTACTCTGTATATTTTAAAAATTTATCTATATTAACATTAAATTTATACTTCATTTGTCCTGCAAAATTTTTCTATTTTGACTTTTGGATGAGAAACTCTAGAAGCTTCACTAAGGTGAAGCGATGATAATTGAAACGAGTAGGATTCGAAAAATATCAAAATGAGTAAGACCTAGAAGGTAGTTAAGTTAGGTCTAGTTAAATTTAAGAAAAGTAAAGGCAATTGTGTTCATTTAAACTAAATTAAAATATTTTATTGAACAAGTAATTAAGGTGTAAAAATTATATGTATGAAACAATTAATTAAGATGTGATACAGTACAACATGAATTTTACCCCAAAATATGGAGTAGAGTTTATGTTGGCTAACTAACAAGTAGGATTAGGAATACCCGAGATATTCTAGTTCGGGTAGGAATACAATATAATTATGTGTCATAGTAATTTGCTTACTTGTTGACCAAGTTGTGTTAACACTTTATACATCATTGCCAAGCTTTGAGTTTTGATATGAGAGCCTTATGAGATTTATATGAGAATTGTACTAAATTTTGAGTTATATTTTCCTAATATAATAAAAATCAGTTCTCGCCCAAATTGTGTTCTATTTAGTACTTTAAATCCAATACAAGTAATTTATAATGTCAAACAATGCAAAAACTATTGTAAAATATTAACATAAAATGCCAAATTGCGATTATTATTTCACCTTGCTAACACTCTTAGGGTGTGTTTGGAGAGCAAATAATTAAGATATGAGTTTTGATATTTCGGAATATCATAATCCTTTCTTGGTGTTTGATGAAGACAAAAGAGATATCAAATTCAATATTTTTAGATATCATAAATCTTTTAAATAGAGGGTTTCGATACCTCACAAATTTGAGAGATATCCATATGGGTGTTTGATATCTCTCTCAACCATTGTTCATTCTCCGCCACCGGCTACTATTGAATTGTCACCACCAAGAAACTCTACCCTGTTGTGAGTAACCCCTGCTTATCATTAATTAAATCATGAATTTAAATCTATCCAAACAAATTCTTTTCCATTTTGATTTCAAAACTCATACCATTTCTTCCAGATTTCATAACACACACACACATATATCTCATCGTATGTCTAATGAATTAGGAAATAAAACATAGAAGCAATTATTATCTTATTTTGGTACTATAAGTTATTTGTTTTATTCTTTTCTAAGTAGATTTATTTATATATACTACTCCCTCCGGTCCTAAATTATATGAGAAAAATATATTTAATTAGACTCATCTTAAGGTATAATTAGACTCATCTTAAGATATAATTTTGATATATCAAATATTTATATCATTTGTTTATTAAGATTATATTTAATTTATGCGCAAAAAGTGTCACCGTTTGATTTAAAAAAATCAAAACAGGAAAGGTTTTTAGGATGGGTGGGAGTATGTATATAATGTGTGTATCATTTATGGGAAATTTATTTAAATAGCACTAAAATATAATGACTTTCTCTAAATAGCATTACATGTGTTTTTCCCCTAGCACTTTTTGTCATTATTCAAGTAAATATTCATCATCACTGATATTATTCCCCCTTCTCGACATTATTAAGTGATATTTAGGGAATAAAACAGTTTAAGTGTTATTTAGGAAAATGACTTAAAATTTAATGTTATTTAATTCAAATATTTCTTTATTTATATATACTTTGTATGTAATGCATGTCAGAAAATCAACCAAATGACTGAAATTTTGATCCCTTTTCATTGAAAGCTTCTCTCCTCTAATAAGGTATGGTTATAACATCACGTATTTCTTAACCACCAAACAAAAAAACTCCTATGCATGATAATCATCCAAACATATCATCCCTTGCATGCATGCACATGCCGCTTGATCAGCCTGCCTGCCCGCCGTACCAGAAACGAATTGGTTAATAAGCGACCGCCATGCTACCGTCGCCTCACCGTCGCAACGCTGTCCCTAGATACCAACCCAGGAAATCGTCGAGTCGTTGTTGTTGCAAATGCATATGCTTATGTTGTTGCCTCCTTTTCATCATCGTCCTCGCCCTAGGTGGCATGGCGTTCTACATCTACGCCGTATACAAACCCAAGATTCCATCCTACCGAGTCAACGGCCTTGAGGTTAAGAAATTCGATGTTCAATCAGATTTTAGCCTCAAGACTGTTTTTACGGTCTCCGTCACGGCGGACAACCCCAACACCAACATTGGGTTCAAATACGGCAAGGACAGCTCTGTCATCGTCACCTACACCGACTCTATTCTCTGCTCCGGGAAGCTTCCTAGCTTCCACCAGAAAGCAGAGAATGTGACGGAGATGAAGATTCAACTGGATGGGGTTAGCAAATTCGGGTCAGGTCTCCAAGAGGCTTTTCAAGAGAGTAAAGATACTGGGAAAATACCTTTACTCGTGAAGGTTAAGACACCGGTAAAGGTGGTTGTTGGGAGCTTGTCCTTGAGGGAAGCCATTGTTTATGTCAATTGCTCCCTCGTGGTCGACAAGCTCCAACCAGGGAAGAAAGTTGGCATTGTTAAGTCGAACTACTCCTTCGATGTTTCCTTTTGATATGATGTGGGGGAACATTGAATTTACTAGATTCATACATATGTGTTGCATTCAAAGAAATTCAATCCAAAACAAAATTTTCAAACTAAAACTAATTGAGTTATTAATGTTTGAGTACATGGAGTATAAGTGAATGATTTAAATTGAGATTAACATAAAATCAAATATTTAATGCATCTCAAAATTTAAAAGCAAAAAAATTCTACAATATTAATGTGATTTAGCCCAACAACTATTGCGTATAAAGAACAAAAGGATAATAAGAATAGTCTTAGAGAAAATTAGAACTCTCGTTTATTATATTTATATAATTAAGCTACATTCAGTCTGCTTTACAAAGGAGAGTTTGCCCCCTATTTATAGTCTATTTCTACCGTATACAAGGCATGTAATATTTCATGCGCTACATTATCGGTAATTCACCAGTCATGTGTCAATCGTGGCAGGGAATCAATCATCAACTCCCCTCAATCCCATGATTTGGGGAACACACCTAATTCTGGTATCGGGCTAGACCCGACACTCCGGGTCCACCTTCGGGCCTTGACTCTATACTCTGCAATTGAACTTACATCCCTGTTGGATCGTGGAATCGCAATTGGGTTGTCCTTATCTGCTTACCGAGCACGGATATCCATCAAATATATTGTTTAAACACTTACAAATTACTCTATGAATTATTTTATAAACAACATTTGATGTGGAGCGCACTCGTTTTCCATTATCACAAATAAAAAAAATTAAACCATTATAATATGTAACTCTTGAAACTGCAACATACTATTAATAATCATAACTAAATATAGGGTTCTTCCGAAGAGGGTCTACGTAAGAGAGATAGATTGGCCTTGACTTTTGTTTATGATTATAGCATATGAAGTTATTATGGGCAAAAAACTATCGCCTTTCGAATTTGAAATGAGTTCTTGGATCTCTAAGATTATTATAATAAAGAGAATGTAAAAATCAAGTATATACTTATTGCTCTCTCTGTGTGTGTTTCTATAATACTCCATATTATGTTTATGATGCAAGTGTAGAAGATGACAAATTGACAGTCTCAAAATAGCAAATTACTATAGGTCGTCGTCAAGGCGGACAACCCCAACACCAATATTGGGTTCAAATACAACAAGGACAACTATATCATCGTCACCTACACCGACTCTGTTCTCTACTTCGGGAAGCTTCCTAACTTCCACCGTACCAGGGAGCAGAGATCAATGTGACGGATGTGAAGATTCAACTGCACGGGGTTAGCAAATTCAGGTCGGCTCTCCAAGGGGCTTTTCAAGAGAGTAAAGATACTGGGGAGATACCTCTACTCGTGAAGGTTAAGTCACCAGTTAAGGTGGTCCTGGGGAGCTTGTCCTTGAGGGAAGCCGTTGTTTATGTCAATTGCTCCCTCGCGGTCGACAAGCTCCAACCAGGGAAGAAAGTTGGCATTATTAAGTCAAACTACTCCTTAGATGTTTCCTTTTAGTATGATGTGGTCTTATTTATTGTGTGCTCTTCCTAAACGATTATTTTTCTTTATGTTTTGACCTTTGATGTCAATATTTTTTAAATTTAACCAAAACTTAGTTCGTATAAATAGAAAATGTTGAGTTTACCATTTTCATACCTGTGTGTTACACTAGAAGAGATTCATTCCAAAATAAAAATTGCAAAATAAAACTAATTGAGTTATTAATATTTGAGTACAAATAAATATGGAGTATAAGTGATTGATTTAAATTGAGATTCCATTCTCATGGCAAATAAAAAAAATTTAAACCACTAAAATATGTAACTCTTGAAGCTGCAACATATAATTAATGATTATGAATGAAAAAATGGTTGGCCTTGACTTTTGTTTATAGTTATAGCGGGCGTATGGAATTATTACGGGGAACTATCGCCTTACAAATTTGAAATTAATATTTGATCTGTAAGATTATAGTGTGGGGAATATGAATGAAATGATAACTACAATATTAGAATTACAATAGAGTTTTAACTAAACCAAATTAATGGGATACAGATATTAAAAGACATTTATAAGAGAGATAAGTATATAAAATAATTAATAGTACTCTGTATCTATTTATTTATTACTCCATCTCTAACACCCCAATCCGTCTAGGTCTGCAACCCCTTTCGGACTAAAGTATAAACTTGGTAATCGTAAAATTTAAAATATTTCAAACACTTTTATTTATCATAAATAATATTCATAATATAAACAGTAATAATAATATGGAATGTTCAATATTGTGGAAGCATAATAAAAGATGTCACACGATAATCATAACTAATTATTTTATGTCTTTTGAAATCATAATTCAAATCGTCACATCCACCCCGACAATCTTGCCCCATCTGCCGCTAGGATCACGTCACATCATTCTTCGGATTTTCCTCCGTGCTGCAAATAAAACATACTACACGCTCAGCGGTGAAGCCGGGTAAGGATATGTAATGCATCGAACATCCACATAAATAATTGAATCTCAATTCATGATCAAATCATTTGATATCATGCACATAATATTCCGTTCAAATATTCAATATTCAACATTTATAGTGTCAACAGTACTCTTAAACTATTCTTAGTCTAAGGCCAAATTATTAATGTTCACCAACTCTTAAACTAAATCTAGTTTAAGGTACTTCTAACCAACTCTTAAACTATATTCTAGTTTAAAGTACTACTAACCAACTCTTAACCTAATCTAGTTTAAGGTACAATTTTCAAAAAAGTTTTTCAACTCTTAATCTAGTCTTAGCATAAGGTACACAAGAAATCGAACAACGGACTCCTCACCATCGGGTTGGGTGGTATCCCAAACGAGTGATCCTCTAGTTTGGTTTACGGATCTCGTACACATGTTTTTACGCAGACTACCGAATATACATATTTATACCCGTAAAACCCATTCTAATCTGAGGTCTATCTTAGAGGTCTTCTAGATAGCCTTAACAATACACATCATTCTCTTATTCATTAATCTATTCATTTGAATTATAATTCAATAATTCATAATCATGATTTTAATCAGGATATTCATTGAGGTTTAATAATGATAAACAATCAATAGTATTCATCATAATATTCAATAACAATTAGCGGCTTAGCGTCGAGTGTTAACACCATAGCTTACCGTCATACATCACACAAGATTTTTGCATTTATCAAAACATCATATTTATTTCCAGAAATCATTCTCATATTGATCATAATTGAAGGATATTATTATCATCATCATATTCATTATTACGGAGTATTATTATTACAACTATTATGTTCATAATTATAGTTTATAAACTATTTCATTTTTTTCATGTCACTAGTTTCACGATTCACACTCTTCTAAATTAATACGAGAAAAACATTTTTCAATTTTTTTATAAAAAATTTTGAAAGTTAAAATATTTTAAAGAACAACATTAAACTGTGAGTAAAACATAAAAATATACCAAATGTGAGTTCTATATTTTTATTCCCAAAATAAGAGTTACAATGCAAATACAATTTCAATCATTAAAGAAAAAAGGGAAAAATACCAAAGTAGGACTAAAATGTTGAAAATATACCAAAATAGGAGTTCTATGTTTTTATTCCCGAAATAAGACTTAAAATACATTTGCATTACTAAACATGGTTATGTACATTACTAAAAAGTATAGTAATGTGGACCTGTATAGTGTCAAATTACAACCACATTACCACTGTGTGAAGTCCTATTTCGAAAAAAAACATGAAAGTCCTATTTTGGTACTTTTCTCTATGTTTTAGTCCTACTTAGGGTGATTTCTAAAGAAAAAATAGATTTGATCACATTATATGACAGATCTGATATTTAAAATAAAATCTTGTAATATATAACGCGTAATTACAAATATATTTTTTATAACAAATACAGCATTCTAAATTGAGATGCAACATAACCACAATAGCTTTTTAAAATTTAACATTTCAATATTTATGCTAACTTTATACTCTAATTACATTTTTTGTGAAAGTAGATTTTTGTGTATGAAAAATGACAATATTTTTTATCTTAAAAACATCTATACTTTATTTCAAAAGACACGAAGTCAATATTGCATTTTCCCGCCCAAAAAGTATGGATATTACATATGGTAAAGTGAAGTTAAAATGGTAAGTGTCCGAAATTATAGTAATATAAAATTCACGTTTTATAAGTATAATTATTATATTATATTTATAAGAATTAACTGTCATTTTTAAAGTGTCCGAAATTTATACTAGCAAGAAAGATAAGTTATAAAAATATATTTATAAAATAGGCAAAAATTATTTATAATAAATATTTATAAACTTTAATACACACCAATCAATGCTATTAAAAACGTGTGTATGATTGTTCTTACCATAATTATATAATTATATGATTACCATGTGACTAGGTTATAAAAAACGTGTGTATGATTATAGTATAATATAATTATGGTAAGAATATTTATACACACAGTTTCGAAAAAAAATTAATACGGTAAAACCCTTTAAATATATATATATATATATATATATATATTTATGTTTAAGAGTAAGACAGACAATAACCAAAAAATGTAATAATTATTATTCCGTTTAATTATTACCTATACAAATGATAATTGTCTGAAATTATAGTGTCCATTTTTAACCCGTGCACGAAGTATGACCATTACATATGGCAATTGTGAAATCAAATGGTAAGTGTCCGAAATTATAATCCTTTATATATAATATTTGAGAGTTGAACTCTCAGAATTGCGACATTTGGCGTGCTGACTGGATCTTTTTTTGACACTTCATCAGCCACGTCATCAAAATCAACTTCCTCAATATTCCAAACGGGTTGGGCTTCTAGAGTTGTGACATGTGGCGTGCTTATTAGACAATTGTTTTAACATATCAGCATGTCATGTTAGCAAGTAATGTTTAAAAAATAGTTAACAAAGAAAACTTATTATGCGGAAATTAAATTTCATATTTGTTACACATAAATTTCTCCATATAATCGCGTTTAAAAACTTTTATATTTTCATTCATTATTGAAAAATATTTAAATTAAATAGTATAGTTTGAAATTTGAAAAAACCACCTATTCAAAAACTATAATCAAAACAAATAAATTTACTTTAAGAACGGATAGATTAGGCGAAGGACTAAACGAAATTACATTTGATTTTTTTGCTTTGAATTAATAGTATTTGGAGAGATT